GAAGCTCAGAACCCATCTGGCAGTTTTTCAGTTGTGTCAGTGCCCAGAGCTGTGAGCACTTGGGAAGTGGGTGAGGGCAGAACATTCATTCAGTGTCATGTTATTTACTTAGTTTGTATAAAATCTTATGCTATTTTATCCTACATAACTGCACACAGATTTAAAGCACAGGCTTAATTCCTCCATTCCATAGATCTTGAAATTTAGCATCCAGTTAATTTTCTTGAAGATCTTTCTTCTTAGAAAGGGTAGAACTTTTCCTCATCTCCTGACACAGTTTAGATCTTTTTAAAAGTGAGGCTTTCCAAAGAGACCAAAAAGTGGCTGCTTTTGTTGCAGCCTTAAGAAATACAGGTACTGAGTTTGATTTTTAGGGCTCTAAGAAGAATTCAACAACTACTAACCTCACCTGCTACTACTGCCAAAAGCCAGGCCACTTTAGGAGGGACTGCCTTAAGAGGCCCCCCACTGGGCCTTGACTGCAAAGGTGGCCACTGGAAGTGAGACTGTACTCTGAGGTAGACGCCCCAGAGCTCAGACTCATCTTCCCAGCTGGTCTAACAAGACTAAAGGGCCCTGGGCACTCTGCCCTCTCCCTTTGGCTGAACTGTCATCTCCACCTGTCATCTCCATGGAGGAGCCGTATAGGAGACTATAGGAGAAAAGAATGTCCTATTGCTGGACATTGGCCCATGTCTCTTGGTTCTTCCTCTCAATCCTGGCCTTCCTTCCAGCCATCAAACCTCAATAAGGAGTCACCAGATAAAAGGTAACTCACTTAAGCTATAGCTGGATAACTTTCTCTACACCTATCCCTTTTAGCTATGTCTAAGAGTCCAGCTCCCATCCTGGAGAGAGATATTTTATCCTGTCTAAATACTCTAATATATATACCCAGGTTGCCAACTAATCAAAATGATGCTTAGACTGGTTTTACAAATACAATATATATTGTTGACTGTGTATAATAACTTGAGCTTTTCACTGGTCAAAAATGTGTTAACTGTTATAATCTGTTTCTCATAAGTCATCAATATTTTGGAGATAATTATAGCTAAAACTGGAGGGATTTAAAACAAAATATCAGTCTCCACCAATAGTGGTGTCTAAGAGCCAGTGGGTTACAATTGCTAGTCCAGTCCCTTAAGAACAGTTTCTAGACTTACTGGCAGGTTGATTTCACTCATATTCCAAAGAGTAAAGGAGTTTAATACTTACTAGTCTGGGTAGATACCTTCACAAACTGGGGGAAACCTTTCCTTGTAGAAGAGAAAAGGCATAAGAGGTGATAAAACTTTTAGTCTCAGAAATCATCCCCAGAGTCGGACTTCCTAAGAGCTTACAGAGTAATGATGGGCCTTCTTTTAAAGCAACAGTCACACAGCGTGTCTCTCAGGCACTGGGCATTCTCTAACACCTCCACTGTGCATGGAGGTCACAACCATCAGGAAAGGTAGAAAAAAAGAATGAGACCCTAAAGAGACATCTTCACAAATGGCCTCAGTCGCCTCACTTACTACCTTTAGTTCTCATCAAAATAAGAAATGCACCTCAACTTCCAGGCCTCAGTCCGTTTGAAATGCTTCATGGACACCCTTTTCTCCCTAAAGATTTTCTCTTTGCTAGAGAGGCAGATGCCTTACTGGAGAATGTCACCTCACTGGCTAAATTCCAACAGACTCTTCAAACAGCTAGTGGAAGCTGAGCCTAAAGAAAAGGGAAATCCCATATTCCACTCGAGACTTAATACTGGTAAAGTCTCTTCCCTCATCCTCTCCTTCCCTAGGACCACCTCAGGAAGGAGCATACACCATGATCCTGTCAACTCCATCAACTGCTGAGGAAGCAGGCCTGGACTACTGCATAGACCACACCCAACTCAAGTCCGGGGAACCAGAGACTGTCACTGAGTGTGAGCACTATTATCGGAATACTCCTGTGAACCCACAGAAGACTTAAGATTCTTGGTCAAGAAAAAAACAAAGCCTTCAGATAAGCAATCTAAGATGTTACTCTTAGCCCTTTTACTCATCACTTTACCACTTAAGGGACAATGCAATGCCTTTCTAAGGTGGGCACAAGAATATGCAGACTCATTACAACAAAGAGCTCACTGGATATGTGGCTCGCTCCTCTTGTCAAGCATATCAGGACTTCCCCGGTGGGTATCCCCACTCCAAGGGGGTCACTGGAATAAACTACAAGACTGTATTGATGAGTTACAAAAGAGTTCAATGGTTCATAGTTTAGCCCACCATTATGAAGTAGCTGAGGGGCCTATAAACTATACTCTCAATGGTACTGGACACAATAGGATATTTTCTAACAATGCCGCTGAAGCCTCTTTAAAGGCTCTAGTAGGACCCCTATTAAGTAAAAGCAAGGGTCCTATCCTGAGGGCCAACAACCACAGATATCAAGATGGTTATTTTCAGATATGGGATGATTATCTATGCTTAGCCCCCACCATAGGACATCTTAATAGAAAGGCCCTCTTATGTTGGGAATGGAAGAATCACTTCTATTCTCATTGGCCTAACTCTACTAAATACTCGGGATGGACACCCCCTCAACAATGTATACACACAATAACTTCACAGGCTGAAGATTGGTTTGCAACAAACTGCCTTAATTGCCCCAGAATTAGATGGGAAGCCCCCAGTGGCACTCACTGGTGCTGTGGAACCAATTTATGGCCTTGGCTACCCCTCTGGATGGATAAGAAGATGCATGCTGGGATGTGCATAGTTACAAGGCAGAAGTGTCAAAAGTACTGACAAACCTGCAAACTTGCCTCACCTACAGCACTGATGATCTAGAAGTATGTTTCACTGGTATGACCATTTGGCTTCCATCTTTACCCCTTCCCCAGGGTTAAAGGATCGAGGCCTTAACTAACTACACTCACTGGGCCTTAAGTGATACTGTGGCAGGTCTCTCTCTAAGTGAAGAATTAGAATTAATGAGGCAAGCCATCCTCCAAAATCGGATGGCATTCTAACAGCAGTCCAAGGGAGTACTTGTGCAATTACAGAAGCTGAATGTTGTGTGTCATTCCTGATCCTTCTGCTAATGTCTCAATAGCTGTTCAAGATATTAGACAACAGGTTAATGACATGACAGATTTTGAAATTCCCTGAACCTTTTCCTTATCCTCTTTATGGAAAGCTACTACTGGCTCCTCCTGGTGGAAAATCTTGTTGGCCATATTCATAATTATCCTGTTGATTTTATTATTTGGCTTATGCATACTTAACTGTTTCTGTGGCCTTGTTTCCTCCAGACTTAAAGTTGTACATCTACCCAAGACAAGAATGTCTGGTGTCTATCGAGGACCTACAGATAGACCCTCTGTGGAATATCTTTGACTGCGATCACAACTACACCCTCTTCAGCTAGAAGTTGCCAGATTAGTCTTTGCTCCCTGTCCCCTCATGGCTGTTAGGGGTATTTCTTCAGAGGGGAAAATATTACAGGTAGCTAAGTTAGGTAGAAATATTGTAGGCAGTAGGATAGGGCTGAGCCCTCAAGAGGTCAATGCAGAAGACAACTGTGGCTAGAGGTGTATTCACTGAAAGGCCAGGTTTCAAGACAGAGAACTACCTACCCATATACTTCCCCTAGGGATGAATAGCAGAGATTGATATGCTAAGTAGGCATCAATCACCTTGGGGTGAGGACCAAACCTCCTCACTCACCCCTTCCAGGAAAGTCCTTGTCTGTCCCAAGCTCGCTTGCTATGTGACTTGTTTCCCCATTTGATCCTCATTTTATCAACACGACCCTTGCGACTATAACTGTATACTTGCTGGTTCACTATAGTTTTGTCCCACCTCACTCCCATCCTATGATTTGCCATTGGATCAATATTACCTAAGTGACTATACTTGTAATTTTATTGATTAATTCCCACCTTATGCCTGCCTCACCTTGTGGCTTTGCTCAGTAAACCCTTGAGAAGAGGGGTTTCCAGGACCCCTTCTGTCCTTCTCAGACAGAAGCTTTCTTTCTTTCAATAAATTCCTCCTACTCTTAAAAAAAAAGTGAGGCTTTCCCAGAGTAAAAGGCTTTCCCATTGTTTTGGGTAAAACAATGGATTAAAACTGTATCATAGAACTTCTAACTCCCAATATCTTTTCAAAAAACAATAAAAATTTGATCAGAAGAAGAATTCCAAACAAGAACCAAAGAGGGAAAGGGTAAAACTGAAGGTAAGCAGCTTCAAATACTTCATGGAAAAGAAATACAAGATGTCCAGGCCTAGGTAAGAGATATGTCATGGTGTGGCTCCCACCCTTCCCTTCTGTCCTGAAATGAGGCTTCGCTTTCTTCAGGCAAAATCAACTTCTTCATGTCTGCTTTTAGGGAATATTTCGCCCTTCCTTAACTATTTGTGCAAATTGACAGAAGTAACAGTCTCTGCTTAGGAAACACTGAAGGGCCTTAACCCATATTTTTAGGAGCAACAGCAGTATCAGCTGGTTCTAAAGCAACAATAGTGTGAAACTGCCAAAGCCAGGCAAAGCGGGGCCCAGCGGAGGGAGGAAGAGGAAGAGCCAGAGGGGCACAGAGGGCACCGTGGGTGACCCAGGGTGCTTTCCTGCTTCTTCTAGGACAGCAACGTGATTGTAGAGAAAAATTCCACTTGTAAATTTCCAGTACAGATGAGATGCTCATAGATCTTCCCTGAGGGAAGTCAGGAAACCGGGCATCTGCTAGGGTTACTGGCAAAAAGACTGATTCCTGGATGGAAGGGAAGTCTTGGAGAACTGAACTCAGAAAGCCAAGAGGTGAGTCCACAGATTTATTCACATGCTTTGGCTGTGATTTTTTTCTGATTTACTGATTAGAGGTCAGAGAAATTTCTCCAACAGTTGTGAGATGGGCCCAGGTTTGGGCCCGGATCATTTTCTTGTCCCATAGTTGTGAGGTTACCTGTAAATTATCCAGGATGATTCGGAGGGAGGATACCTGTCGTCGGACAGCACGTGAGAACCTTTCATAGGTGGCAGCATCATATTCACTCATCTGAATCTCCTTTAGCCTGAAACCAGAGAGATAAAAGACAGCACCTTACATCACATCCACGTGAGTCTTTTACTTTCATTCATCTACTTTAAGAACTGCAGCAAACTCGTTGGCAACTCGGAGTGACTTTCGGGTAGAAAAGACAAGATGCAAGTTCTCCAGGAATGCTTCCAAATTCAAAAGAGGTTACTGTGCCATGCTGGTAAATGAGGAACAATCTTCTCTCCAAGACAAAAAGTAGGGGGAGGGGATGCCCTAATTTGCAGTTTTTATGTGCTTATTTCTGTTGTGTAAATATTTCCACTGTGATCAATTTCAAGCTAACAACAGTGAGGCCACTGAAGTGTAAATTAGAAAGATGTGCAGAACAGGCTTTCGTGAGCCAGTATGAATCACTCTACGGTGTGCCATTGCTGTGCCTTGAAGACATGTGATGTCAGCAGTTCATGGGCTCATGTGGCAGCTTCCTAGGAGAGTTCTGTGGGTTGTTTGTTTAAGACTGAGGTCACTGGTTGACCAAGATGATCATTCAGGCCCAAAGAAAGTTAGTTAATGTGTTACTATGTATAAGGTGCAATTAGAAAATATGTTGAATGCTTAAATTTAAAATTTTTATTACAGTAAAAGACACATTGCTATTAATTCCCCTTCACTTTGAAAACACACCCCATCGTTCTTACCACTTTCAGAAGTAGTTTTGAAGTAGTTCTGAAAGTCTTTTATTGTGAGTCTTTAGCTGTGTTGTGGCTGTCTTGATATCCTGAATCCTTTCAAAAACATTTTCCTTTCATGGGCATCTTGACTTTGGGAAGAGCCAGAAGTCACATAGTGCTACAGCTAGAGAGGGAGGCGGGCGAGGACGCACTGTCACACCTCCTCTCCACTGGGCCGTGCTCTGCAACAGCCGTCACTGTACCTGTGCTCACACCTTGTACAGACACTCGTGAAAGAGGACTTCCAGAACTGCTTCAGGAAATGACAAAAAGGGCCGGGCACAGTGGCACACGCCTGTAACCCCCCATTCAGGAGGTGAGACAGGAGTATCACCACAAGCTCGAGGCCAGCCAGGACTACAGAGCAAGACTCTGTCTCAAAAAACCAGGAAAAAAAAAAGAAAGAACAAGAATGATGAGATAAAGTTTGAAGTGAGGGGAATTAATGGCAATGTGCTTTTGACTGTAATAAATTTTTAGATTTAAAATTCACCACATATTTTGATCATACCTCATATTCCTAAATGACAGTTTTCTAAAATTGCTGATAGTGTATTTTAAATAGGATAGTTGTGTTTTGATATTATTATGGCTTTGAAATTCTCCCTTCCTCGTATACTGCTCCTTTCTACCATCTTCATCACATGCTTCCGCCCTGCCAGCAGTGCCCTGCACATGCCATGTGCCCACGTCTCGGTGCTCCTCAAGGTGCTTTCCCTCGGGCTTGTCCTGTTCCTGCCTCTTTGCCTACCAACTCCCACTCACCCATCAAGACTCCAGTCAACTGTCACTCCCTCTGAGACACCGGCCCTGAGCCCTGGGACTATCCTCGGTGCTCTCCTCTCCTCCTTCCTCCCTGTCACACCAGGTCTTACCCAAGCTATTGCCTGCCTCCCATCTCTCCACCTTGGCTCTGTATCCCTTTAGGTACAGGCTGGGCTTTTCATCTTTACACATACAGTGCCTCACAGGGAACCTAGCAAGCCTCAGGAAGGTTCTTTCACTAGGTAACCTCTCCTGGGTTTTATAGTGTTGTAGCCATAATACACTAACTTGCTCACACATTTCTATGCATGCCTATAAATATAAAAGGGGCTGACACTAGGTCAGGAAATAATGAAAGCATCTCGCCGAAGCCTAATCATAGCACAATCTTCTGAAGTGCTGTGTGTGTGCACGTGTGGATGCGCACACAGGTGTGCAATGTTGGAGGGCTAGACCTCAGGTGTGTAGCTGAAGCTCTCATCTAAAGTGGTGTACACTTGTCACTTTAGGTTGGATGAGAAATCTCAAATGCTGAAGGAGCACGGGTGGTTTCTATTCTTCTCCATTGGGCTCAGCACTGGGTGGGAAGAATCCAAGCAGAGTGCTTGAAACTTATGGGTGCCATGCCAGGTGATGAGGCAGACTAGCAATTCGTGCCCCAACAACCTGTTCTGTTTCAGCTCAGGTTTCAAGACCCAGGTCAACGGCCACAGCCCAGGAAACCTTGCCTGATCTCTAGGGTAAAATGGACCATTCCTTTTCATGTACCTTTAGCAGTTATGCATCATGTAATCTGCACACTTCACTGGGTTAGCAGGTAGATCCATTTCCAGTTACAGTGTTTACTGAACTTCCCCCCCATAGATATATGTTTTACAATGAGATCTAGTACACACAAATGCACATGCGTATATAACTAAACCAGAAATTTAATGAAAAATATTTATTATGTTTGATATGCTTGGACGTTTTCTGTTCTTTGAAAAGAAAAATAATATATCTTTCTCTTTGAATCTCCAGTTCCTAGCACATGCCTGGCACACCGTGGCACTTAATAAATGTCATTGGGCAACGCTTTGAAAACACTATCTAAAGGTAAATACTGACAAGGCCACTATAATATTTTAATAGTCACTTTCAGAGGTGACATGACAAGGTGCCCTTCCAAATCTCTCTTTTGGAAGATGTCCTTTTAAATTAACTCTCTCTTCGTAGAAAAAAAAATAACATATGTAAAGGACTTGACCTCTTAAAAATACCTCTTCTGTTTAGTCTTGGCAATCTCTGTAAGCTCTCTATAGATTTTTATTAGATTGAGTTATATGTCAGGAATCCTAGCTGACAGAAACTGGGCACAAAGAACATGGCAAATATCTTAGTTACTTTTCTCTCCTTACTGAAACAAAACACCCAATACCCAAAGTTAAAGGGGGAGGTTAATTAGCTCACAGTTTGTAGAGGTTTCAGTGAGCTGGCTCCAAGCCAGGGTGGTCTGGCAGACATGCATCGAAGAAGAGAAATGGTTCATGGCGGGCAGAAGGTAACAAAAGCAAGGAGGGATGACCGCAGGTCTTTCTACTCCTTATATCTTATCCACGTTGCTTAGGGCCAGTAGCACTCACACCCTTAATCCTAGCGCTCTGGATCTCAGCACTGCACCAGGAATCAATCCCAGCATCACACAATCTAGATCCAGCCACCTCTAAAAAAGCCCCACCTATGACCACAGGTGGCTTTAGAGGCACATCTAGACACAAGACATAACAGTAGGATATGGAACCTGCTCACTTCTTGTGTAGGAAGTCTATGCTTTCTTCCAGAAAGGAAAGAGAATAGTGCAGATTGGGAAAAAATGGAGACATAGCCTGACCTTGTTGAGGGTGAGATCATGTGGGAGAGGGAATAGAGAAGGGGATATACTCACACATGCATATATCCACACAGATAAACACATACATGTAGACATACATACTACATATGAGGTATTATTAAAACAGTAAATGTTTAAATTTTTTAAAAAGTTATTACAGTAAAACACACATTGCCATTAATCACCCTCAAAATACTCCCTTTCATTTTAAATATGTTTATCCTATCATTCTTGTGACTTTCTGAAGCAGTTCTGGAAGTCCTCTTTCATGAGTGTGTCTACTTGGCTGTCATGGCTGCCTTGATATCTTGAATTTATTTAAGGTGTTTACATTCATGATCATTTTGACATTGGAGAAGAGCAAGGTGTGGTGGGGAAGGTGGAGGAGAACACATCATTATATTTTTATGAACACTGCATGGCATTTGGCAGCGTCATTTACTGAATTTTTTTCACATCCCATAGAGACGTTCATAAGAGAGAACCTCCAAAGCTACTTCAGACAGGGGCCAGAATGATGGGGTCAGTGTGTTTAAAACAAGGAGGAATATTCTAAAGGGGACTAATGGCAATGTGTCTTTTACTGTAATGAAAAGTTTAAACATTCACCATACATTTCAATCACACCTCTCACACACATTCATATACGCACACACATATACATATGCAGATGTACACATCCACATCCACATATACACATATGCACACATATGCTGTATACACATTCACATACACACAGCAGGTGACAAGTCACCTTGAGCAGAAAGGTCTCTGTCGTGGGATCAGAATTTGCTCATTATACAGCTACTTTTGGTGAGATCTTATTGCACCCCAAAACATATCACATACTGTTTTAATTATGCAGAAATCTGGAAATCATATTCCAGATTGTGTCAGCGTTCAGAGAGATCACCTAAATATGTTTAACGTGGACAGCACATTCTGAAAGATGAAGACTGAAGCAGGGAATGGAGAAATTTTAGCCTCTGGATTTGACAAGCTTCCATTGTTAATATTCTCAAACCCACAGAGCTAGCTGAAAATATTCCTTTCTGCCTTTTTTAAACCTCTGATCAAAACTGCAGGGCACAGCTGCTTCACATCCTAGTAATCTACATCGATGGACTGAACTTTGTTGGCACAGTATATTTTTAAGGGTATATTTATTGTTATGTAACAGTCTGGGAATTTTAGTTCTCATTTTACTTTTTCTTGTAAGTTAAACTTAAATACTATAATTCTGATTCTGTTATGAGGAAAACATACATAAGTTCATTTTCATTGTGGAAGGCTGATTAGTTTTGCAAATGGTAGCGGATGCAGTTTCCACGGCCGTCTACTGTAAATGCTCCTCTAAGTGTACACAAGAACCTCACTATTTCATTCACTTTTTGTTGGTGTAAGGTTTCTGTGATGTTCCATGCAAGTCTGACGCTTGTTTCCCTCTGTGAGTCTGTCTGACCTGATCAATTCTTGTTATATAACAACAAATACCTGGCTTAAAACCAGGCCCAAGTGGATGCTGACGACATGCTATGCCAATGATGTGAAGAGCCCATCAGTACCGTGCTGTTCTTTCGGGTAGCAGAGCACATGTTCAGCCTGATGACTAGGACCATTCTGTCAAATATGAAAGGGTGACACCATTACAGTTAACCCTCCATATCCATGGATTTGACATCTGCAGATTCAACCAACTTAGATCAAAATACTTGAAAATAAAATTACATCTCCACTGAACATGTACAGATCATTTTCCTGTCATTATTACTAAACAGTACAGTACATCAACTAATTACACAGCACTTACACGGTGTTAGGTATTAGAAGTAATTTTGAGATGAGAGGGCACATGGAAGGACTGGGGACATAAGCAAGTTGTAGAGCCCTTGTCTCGCACGCACGAGGCCCCAGGTTTGACCTCTAGCACCAAAAACAAATAAACAAACCAAAAGAAAGCAAGCCCAAACCAAAAAACAAAAAGAAAACAAGGGAGGAGGATGTGTATAGGTTACATATGAGTACTGAGCCATTTTATATAAAGGATTTGAGCATCTGCACATTTTAGTATCCTTGCGGGGTGGGGTTCCAATTTCCCACAGATACCTAGGGATAGCCAATAAAGGGCCACACCATTACTTGTATGCACAGGGATGACTAATCAAGGGTGATACCATTACCTGTATATTTGTGTATAATACTCACTCCTTAAATATCTATGAGCATTCAGCAGGTACTAGGTTCTGTCCTAACAGAACTTATAGTCAGTGGAGAAACAGTGAACTCTTCACATAGATAATAAGATGGGAAAGAGTGAAAACAGTTAAGGAGAAAAGGTACAGGGTGCTACAAAAGCACAAGTTGTAGGACTTGACCTCATTCTCCTATGCATAGACTGGAAAATGTAGCTTTAAAATTAATTCTTTGATGATTATAAAAATTGCTACCTTTTAAAGGCATGCTAACATTATTATGTTTGTGGGTATTTTTAGTTGTTATACTGTAGAGAGACATACTCTGAAATATTTAAGATGAAATGATAGAATATCTTGGATTAGATTCAAAACAATCTAGAATGGAGACTAGAAGTCAGATTATTCTCCTAGAAACTTAGGGGTCAGGTCTATAGGATTCATTATATATTTTTCTCTATTTTTGTTTCATAGAAGGTCTATAGTAAAAAGTTAAGAGAGAATTCCTTTCAGCAATATTAAATGGAATACTCATCAAATGAGGTCAAAGTCCAGTTTCTACATGAAAGTAGAAAGCAATATTTTTTCTTGGTGATTTGCTGTGTCACTGTCTTTCTCAGGATTTCTTTCTCCCCTTTCTCATTCTTTTGCCAACTTCCTCTGTCTTTCAACCTTGGTATTACATTCTCTTTGATGGAGATTTTTCTGCACTGTTTAACAGAGGTGTTAGTTTTATTTTTTTCCATCTTTACATCCTCCCTTACATAGTTTGTCTCTAAATTCACTCGTCTTGTTATCAGTGGGCAGTGGGTTTCTTACAGAAACAGGCTCCTTATCCCTAGTGGCGATCAGAGAAGGGGCTACAATTTGTATCCCAGCGCCACCGCAAGGCCTTCCTGCCTCCCTGTGAGCGACTTCTGTGCCAGAGCACTGCATCCACTGGTCCACTCAGGAGCACACTCAGATGGGACAGAAACTTGAGAGGGCTTACGCAGGGCAACAATAACAAATCATTAGTTGGGAGGGGCGGATGATGCCTATTTAGTTGTTTGGTTCTTTTCCCACATATATGCTTTAGCATTCACATGATGTATCCACAAATATTTTACTTCTAACAAGAATTTTCAGTACAGTATAACTTTCCTCCCATTTTTTTTTTTTTTTTAAAGGAATGCAACTATTTTCATTCCTAAAGTAGTTATCTGTTCTCATTACCTTCCTGAAGGGAAAGGAGAAGAAAGTTCCCTATCTCTAGAAGAGCAAATTTGGGCACAGCGGGGATAAAAACTGTCTCAGGTCTCCAGGAAGGCAGCAGAAGGGCTGAGGGCAACACTCCTGCCACTGATGTCGAGCGTGTTATTCACCTGCTGCGCCTATGCGGGTCCTGAGGCTTGAGGCTTTCCTGAGGGTGTGGAAGGCAGGGCCTGTATATTTGTCTCTATTGTTGTGTCCTGTTTACTTGCAGGATGTGGAAGCGCAGCACGTAATGCAATACCAGATGTTCTACGTGGGAGAATTTCATAACTCCATGCACTAACTGTACCCGGCTCCTTTCACGGAGCACAAACATGTAAATCTGCTTTGCAAGCCATCACTAAGTCTCCCGGTCTGAAAGAAGATACTGCTGGTTCTTTGGCATTTTTCACTTTTAGATGAAGAACACATGGAGATGTCTGGTAAAAGCATCCTGTGGATTCGTCTCGTTTTAAGATGGGGCCAAAGTGACCCAGAACAGCTGTGGGAACATCTGAGTACCACAGGTGTGTGGGCCTGGATTTCAAGGCTTTCCCCTCCCACCCGACGGCTCCTCTCCCCAGACAGCACCCTTCACCCTCTCTGAGACTGTCACGCTCCTGCCCTGCTGCCTCCTGCCCATTCATTTCTCCTTTCCCAGAGTGACTTGGCTCTTCTCATTTCCAAACATTGGCTGGGCACTGACCTTCCCTGCACTGCCAGAGTGCACAGCCCCTGTAACTCTAGCACTGAACAGTGTGTGTGTGTGTGTGTGTGTGCATGTGCACGTGCGTGTGTGGATGTGTATGTTTGTGTACATACACACGTCACCAAGTGTCCAAGATGCAAAGGGAATACCTACCTCTGTTGAAATGCTCTCTGGCCCATCTCTCTTGCAGCCCTCTTGACCTCCTCGGGAACTGCATCCTTCTCAGCATCAGAGACCTGGTAGACTGCGTGTCCTGCATCCAGCCGGTAAAGCCCACCTTTGCCCCCCAGCCCTGCAGTGCTTCTTCCTCCTGAAAGGGAAACATGAGACTCCAGACGGTAAGTCTGAGCCTGACCACAAAAGTCACACAATGGCTTTAAAGCTGTCCTTTGAGGCATGTTAACTGTACTTAACTAGTAGCTAAAAATTCAAATTATCAGGCCAGGGATGGTGGAGCACACCTGTAATCCCAGCACTTGGAAGGCTGAGGCAGGGGGAGCTCTGTGAGTTCCAGCCTGGGCTACACAGTGATCTCAAGGCCAGCCTGTACTACACAGAAAGACTCTGTCTCCAAAAATAACAAGAATTCAAATTATCTTTATGAATACAAAGGTGTTCTATTTAAGATAATTTTCCCTTTTTCCTCATCAATCTAAATCCTACCTGTATTTCGAGGTTCAGTCTAAATTCTGACACCTTAACTGATGCCTCTTCTCATAGAGATCAATATTCCTGTGAACTGTTTGTTGTCCTAATATATATCTCTCTTTTCCCACCAAATAAGTGATAGATGAGCTCATATTTTATAGCTCTTTGTACCTCTGCCCCATATGAGTGGCTTGAATGTTAAACTTATTACATATTTGTTAAATAAATGAACAATTCTCTTCCACCACATATACTATCTTATTTTCCCTTAATATACCAAAAAAATAGTTAAGCTATAGATTAAATTTCTTTTGTTTTATAAATAATACAACTGATCAACAGAGAGGTTAAGTGACCTATTCAGGACTTTATATCATTGGCTTACCCAAGGTTTGAGGCCAGTTATTATACCAGCTTTGACTCTGAGCTTGGATAGTATACAACAGGTAAATGTTACCAGCCGTAGATCAGTCTTTCAATGAAAAACCTGATTATGTGGTGGTAAGTGTATGTCATGTTATATCACATAAAGCACCAAAGTTAGAAATGAAAGTCAATGCCAGGAAAGCCAGGTTGGCAGCATTATGAGAAGTGGTGACAACACTGGGTAAGTAGAGAGGATTTGCTTTGTCTAAATACGTTCAATTCAAATTACTCTGAAACACTACTTTAGTACATCTATTGGCTAAGTTGGCCTCTGGGTTGCTAGAACAATCAGAACAGTACTAACTAGTTTCGTTTGTTCCCTTACACATACCTTGGGAATTTGGAAGAGAATCCAATATTAGAGGGGCAGTATAGCATTTTACAGTACAGCACAGTACTATGTAGCATACTAGTATAGGTAAGCCAGCTGGCCTGAGTATGAATTCTGACGCTAATTCACTGGTTATGTCTTTGGGGAAATTACTGAAAATCTCTGTATCTCAGTCTTGCCTCATTTATAAAATGGTGATACTAATATATGTATCAGGAAACTAAATGCTAGGATTGTCATGAAACTAACAGCACTGTCAAGAAACTATAACGCTTAATAAAGTATCTGGCTGGCAGGGAATGACAGATATATAAAGAACTGCTCTTACAATTATTTATGTATAGTGAGTTAGTTTCTAGATTTGTAAAGTAGAAAATTAGAAACTTTTAGGTTTTGGTTAAATTATGTTATTTTTTTCTCTCTTAAAGCTTTAATTGGTCTAATAAACAGAACTCAGCACAAATTGCTGCCCTTATGAAATTACAGGTAAGTGGTTTCCTTTTGAGAAATACCATGAGACCAGCCTGTTAATTACAATATTTTAATCCTTCAACTGGAAGACATCTTATTTCATTTTTATTTAGAAATAGGTGGCGGAAAATTCCTTCCTGGCTCCCACTTAAGGTTAGCCTAGGGAAAGAGGGCAGTCCCTAGGCAGTGACAACAAGCTGCTAGTGGAAAGGAGCTTCTGGGTCCTGACTCCCTCCCTCTGGCTTCCAGTTAGGTACCAATGGAACACCCGCTACAGCTTAGCTCTTCCTAGTCACCTGGATGTGATCGTTTCAGGGAAGGGAGGGAAGACCCACAGCAGTTAGAGCCTGGTGTGAATATGCTGGACAGAATGAGTCCCTCAGGAAAGTCATACTAGCGGTGAGGACAGAGTTCTTCATGGTGTCTACTTTGCAGAGCTTTTAATTTGTACTAAATGAAAATGCCTGCTGCGGGTTCAGACTAGAGGGCACACCCTTAAAGCTACACCGGATGTCCCAAACCTGTTGGTCAGATAAGGTGGAAGATGGGCAAAGGCTGGGTTTTGATGATGGAAAAGGGATTGAATGACTTGCTGGGGCAGAGCTAAGTTCAGTGTTGACAATTCTGAGGGAGGAAAATGGCAGAGAGAAAACAAAAAGTTGAAGTCAAGGAGACTTGATCAACGGAAAAATGAAAGGCTAGGGGAAACAAATGCAGGGTCTTCAGGCTGGACAGATATTAGAGCTAGTGGATTCAAGCTGGATAAAAAGAATTTCACTGTGGAGTCATCCACTGCCGGGAAGCCTCCATCTGGCCAGCTGGTTCTACAGTGCATTCCATATGGATTAAATCTTCTTGGCTTAACACTCACTTCCAGATCAAAAGATGTTTCTAAAAATAGCCTTTCTTTAAAGCTGATGCTTGAAGAAAAAACACAGTAGGCAAGAAGTCCACAGACCTACTTGATAGCACATTGTCTCCGCACAGAAAACCATTTCCTGCTGCTGTCAAGGCCAAGAGGTGCGGACCATCCCGGGCAAGGTAAAGTACAGAGCCCACGCCAGCACTCCCATGGCTGAGATAAGCGCAGACAGTGCGTGCAGTCTGGCCCTATTCCTGTGGCCCAGCAGATGTGTCTGCTCCAGCTGCCGGGAGGAAAAAGGAAGACGGCAGACGCAGGAACAATGGTCCAGTGGGGCAGCCAAGAGGAAGGAATGGACCACAGCCGTCCGTGCAAGCTGCGACAACCCTCTTATCTCAGAATCTTGCATCTTCAATATACTCACTTCTGCATGTGGAAGACAAGTACTATTTCTTTTCACAGTCAGTTGCTCGAGAAATAATTTACAGATTTCTGGCACAACCCCAAAAGCACAGAATTGAAAACAAGGGATAACACTTTAATGACTATGTTCTTTAGGGCACCATTGTGCTCTGTGCTTTTCAATCAGAATCTCATCTATTCCTCAACGTGACCTCATGAGGCTGTTAATATCATCTAACTCTGAGAGGGTGAGAATGGTCTTAGGTTATAGGATGCCTTGTGGAAATCTAAATATTTATCTTGATGTCATGGAGAGGCTGGAGACAGTAACACATCTTACTAAATAATGGCAGAGGCTGAGAAGGAAAGCTAGCCCTGGAGCCCTCTCAGAGGTGATGAACTGGCCCAATGGGCTCAGTCACCTCAGGAAGCCCGATCAAGAGAACGCCCATGCTACTAACCTGTTCCACCAGCCCAAGTATTGCCGCCCACGTGGGGCATGTTGTCTGGGTCCTCCTTCCCGTGCTTGGGAGAGCTCACGTCTTCACCGCTCTCTCTGTTGATTGTTATCTGAAAATAGAGATTGAGACATTATCACTGTCCTGTGGGGGACACCAGGAAGTGCAGGACAGAAAGATGGATTCTTTTCCTGTAAATCCTTATCTCATAACCTCAGGCCATAGGACATGACAGATGCTCTTTCTATCTGGCAAAAATGTTATTAGATTTAATATCCATCTAGTCGGGAAGGAGATAAATTATATTTTTAAGAATTTTTTTAAAGGAGCTGGGCTGGGTTTCAGCTTCAGAATTTTCTTTTGTGGAACATGTTATGACCATTTACATAAATATGAGACGAGAAAGAAAAAAAAAACAGGAAAATGTATTTCACCAGAAAGACATTTTCTCAGTGGTTTAAAAACATCACCCTTCGCTGATATAGCAGAGCCAGTAAATATTCATTTACTAATTTCATTTTCAAAGAAACCCTATTACTTTGAGAAATGACATTTTATATAAAATATATAGAAAACAAAAATAGAAACTGTGGGTTTATGTGGTTGAGGGACAAGTTTATGTTCTATATATCCACACTGTAAAAGCTGCTTATTTATTTTTTGGACCCACTCCAATATTACTACGATATTTTGTAGAGCTCCTAATTTATCTTTATTTTAAAACTGGATTTATGCAAATCAAATGGAACAAGTGGTACTTTAGCCCTCCCCATTAAAGCCTGTTCCTGTTTCCAAAGTTCTTTCATTCATATTTTAAATAACATAGCAGAACATTCTCTCTCTCTCTCTCTGAGTGAGGAATCATGTGTAGAACAGTTCCTCTAAAACCGTAAAATGCTCATTATTTTTGAAATGTCCACTGCCATTCACCCAGCACTGACATGCTGTGGCTAATTCAGCGACTCCAGCTCTGGTGAATAAGGTGATTGAGAGGAGTTTTAGTCAAAACTTGGTGCAGTTCTAAACGAAAAATTCCAAAACTGGTCTGAACCATGACAGTTTTATTGGAAGAACTGTTCCAAGTTCCAACCTTCACATTGGGTGTGTCTGTATGTGTACTGATATATTGCTTAAAAATAAAAGAAATTTGGGAGGAGTATGAGGAAACAAATGCCTACGTGTCTAATAACTTTGTTGTCTTCTTTAGACATTTCACAC